GGGGTGAGCGCCCCGTGAAGAGCCGGTGTGGCGCCCGCGGCCCCCCGACAGCGAAGCCCTGTGAGGAGGTGGGGCCCGATGGACCGCGGGAGCGCTTGGCGGAACCCTGGGGCGCCATGCCTGAGGGGTGGGGGACTGAGCGGGGCTCCGTGTGACGCCGTGGGGACCTGCGTGACGGGAGAGGACGAGAGGACGGCGTGACGCTGCGCGGGGACTAGGAGGACTCGGGGCACAGTGCTCGTGCTTTGAAGCCGGGCTCTGTGGGACTGTTGGACCGCGTGTGACCCCCGGAGGACCTGTGTGCCAGCGCGTGGAAGACCAACGTGAAGGTGCACAGGGTGCCTCAGGACATTTGTGGGCGATGGAGCATTCTGGGAGGACGTGTGAAACTGCGGCGACTCTCTGGAACTGTCAAGGCTCTATGTCAAACTGTGGGCACCACGGAGGGTCACTGTGTGGACATGTGCGAAACTGGGTGGGCAACCCCGTGCAGGGCTCTGTGTGTGAGGGGAAGCAGATTTTGAGTGATGTGCGAGGGCAGCTGCTTTGCAGGCAGGCAGAATCCTGGAGTCTGGAGGACCACGTGCAGCGGTGGATTATTTGAGCAGGAGAATGGGGTTCAGGTAGAGCTTTCTGACCGAGTGGTGGTTGGGCAGTGGCCGTGGAAGAAGCTGAGTGAGGTGTTTGATTCTAGACTGGAGTGGAGGTCCCTGCAGGCGGCAGGTGGGGGTTCAGGAAGGGAAAGGTCATCATCCATGCCCCAGGCTTTGGCTTTGGGGAGCCTTGAAGGATGCCTCGTTGTGTTTCTCTCTCCTTGACCTCGTGAATGTGCCTTCCCCCACAGAACAAGAAAAAGAAGAAGACAGACTTTATTCCATACCGAGATTCTGTGCTGACCTGGCTCCTTCGGGAAAACCTGGGTGAGCATTTGCCCAACCGCCAGGAGGCTTCTCACTCTCTCTTGGCCAAGGCCAAGTGGCGAGGCTGGAGGGTGTGATCAACTGGGGTATGGCCCTTCCAGAGGGCTTGGGGCAGCGGCTGGCAATGGGCTCATGGAAACTTAGACTGGAAAGAGAATAGCCTCACAGGTTCCGTAGAACATAGTTGTGGTGCCAGCATTCCTGGTCCAGGTCATCTGTGAGACCCACACCCAGTTGTCACCCCTCTGGGTCTTGACTTCCCAAATGTTAACAGTGAGCCTAGGACTAGGTGAGACATACGGAGGTTGTGGGGGCTGAAAGGCCCCCCACAGTAATCCCTCTCCTCAGAGACTACCCCGGGGGTGCTCCCTGGCTGTGTCTATAGCTGGGGAGCCGAGGGTCACGGTAGAAACTGAGACTGGGATGGCCTGGTGAACAGAGACAGCTGTGGGTGCTTGGCCTTCTTCATTTGTGTGGCTCGTCAAGCTAGAACCAGTCAGGCTGCCCTCTGTCCCTGGCCAGCCTGAAGTTCCATGACAGGTCTGCTAGTGGGGGGGGGGGGGGGCATCTCCTGGGGGTAAGCCACTTCCACTGAGCAAGGGCAGCAGTGTCACAGGGATGTGTCGCTCTTCGCCTCAAGAGCTAATAAGGAGGCCCCACCCACAAGACCACTCTTAAGTTAATCCTCGGGTTTGATGGCTATCCCAGGGTTGGGGCAGGGCAGCTCCTCAACCTTTTGGGGGCCTTCTGAGTTTCTTAGTGCTGTGATCAGAGAAATGCCACGATAGCTTTCTGCTTGGACCTGGCTCCTGATGTCATGACTTTGGAGGCTCTGTACCTCCCAGCCAGTGACTGGATAGGAGCAAGCAAATGAGATGTAGAGGGCTCTAACTCTGGGATTCGTCAGCTTTGTCAATCCTATGGGTATAAGAGCAGGAAGATCAAGACTCCTGCCATCAAGAAAGATCCACGCATGGAGCACATGTAAGATCCCTGCCTGATGTGAGACCAAGAGAAGGAGTGGACGAGCAACACTGGGCTCATGAGTAGAGCATGGAGGGTGCCGAGGTTGTGACTCAGTAAGAGAGCTTTCCAGGCAACAGCCAAGGCTGAAAGGCTGATGAGAGGTGTGGTTGCTAAGAGGTGCTGCTGTGGATGAAAGACTGTCCGTAGTGTTTTCTACTCCTGATTTGTGATAACCTAACTTTTCTAATACCCGAAAGCAAAGAAACAAGTTCAGTGCTATCAGTCAATGCTGACTCATAGCCCCTCACTGTGGGTTTCCAAGCCTGTATGTAACCTTATGGGAATAGAAAGCCCATTCTTGCTCCCACAGAGCTGCTGGTAGTTTTGAACTGTCAACCATGCGATTTCAGCCCAACGAATAACCACTATACCACCAGGGCTTCTAATAACACCCCTGTCCCCAAAGTATGAGTATTGTTTCTGAGTTCTGTGTTGCTATTGCAACAGATTCAAAAACCCAGCAAGAAGCAGAGTGCCATGGGAGGGCTGCATGGGGTCAGAAGAGAGGAAAAAAGGATGGAGAGGAGGCAGGACTGGCATCTACCTTGTGGCAGTCAAACCCTAGACTCTTGTGGAGTTGTATTCTCCTCCTTACTGAAGCTACAGGAAGTTAGACGTGGAGCTCAAGCCTTTTCCTCAGTATCACAAATACATTTGTGTCTTTAGAGATAGTATCTTACAATCGTGATAGTTTTTCATTGTTCTAAGTTGCCACTGAGTCAACCCAGACATGTAGTCACCTTACGTATAAAACAAATATTAGTCTTGTACCATAAAAAAACCCATAAATTTATTTTGTCAGTGATTAAAAGCCTGGAAGTCCAAATTCTGAACATGTGCTCCAGGGGAAAGTGCTCTGTCTGCTCTGAGAGGAACCCTTACCTCAGCTTCCCTGGCATTCTTCCTGAAGATCTCCATAAGGCACCTATCTCGCCATCTCTGCTTGTCATGGTGCCTGATGTGCTCCTTTGATATATTTCAAAATGGATTGGTTTAAGACACATGAAACTACTAGGGCCTCATTCACACAGCAAAGAAAGTCCTATTCCCAAATGAGATCCATCAACAGGTAGGATTTACCACATATTTTGGGGGGTACACAATTCACTCCATAGCACAGCCCACCGCAGCACATTATCAGCTCGTTGTCCATGTGGAGACTCACTGGGAGTCACACCCTAGAGAGACTGCCCCAAGGACACAAGCGCCTGAGGTCAAATAGGCGAGGCCTGGGTCTGAAGGAGTTGAGGATGTGACCAAGTGGGTCCCTGGCCATGCCTTGTTAGGACTTTGAAGCTGCTGCCCTTGGTGGGATGATCTGCCCAGTGTTTACTCTGCTTAAAAAAAAACCCAAACAAAACAAATTTCAGCTCATAGTGGATCCTATAGGACAGGGTAGAACTGCTCCTGGGCTTCCAAGGCTGCAAATCTTTGTGGGAGCAGAGAGCCTCATCTTTCTCCTGAAGAGCAGCTGGTGGTTTCAAACTGCTGACCTTGTTAACAACCCAACCCATAGCTCACCGAGCCACCTGAACTCCTGCTCGCTATGTGAAGGCAGCAGAACATCTCGAGGGCGTGTGCCCCATGACGTGTTTGCAGATGCCTGGGCCAGGCTGCTTTGGGCTAGGAATCTGAGAAAACCAGTTCACGCAAAATGACACGGAGTGCGAAGAAAAGCACGGCACATCAACAGCCCTGACATTGGGGTCTGCACCATGAGAACCCATAATTTTCTCCTTCCTGCGAGGCAGGAGAGGCCTGGTGCTTGTGAAATGTTCCCAAGGCGAGCCAAACACCGACAGGAGACAAGGTTCGCAGTGATGAGCGAGGGGCCAAGAGAGGCCACAGAGCTCTCCCTGTTGTCTGTGTTCCCTGGGCCAGCCTGTGACTCGGCTTACCTGAGCTGTAGGTGTAACCTTACGTTTAGTGATTGGAGGGAGGGCCTGGCAGTGGGGCTGGACTCCTAATTGGCTATGGCCTGGTTCTCTTCCCCCAGGCGGTAACTCCAGGACAGCGATGGTGGCGGCCCTGAGCCCAGCAGACATCAACTACGATGAGACTCTGAGCACCCTGAGGTGAGTTCTCCTGCCTGGGCAGGCCAGACCCTTCGTCCCTGCAGACCCCTTCGTCCCTTTAGGACCCCACTGAGAAAGGGTGTGCTTTTGTGAGGATCTTGGCTGTGACTGGCCGCTCCAGTTCTTGGTTCCCACTGTGCTTTGAGGGGCACTTGGGGACTGTGGGTGCAGAGGGCCCCATGACATCAGAAGGGCCAGCTCGGGGTACCAGTTACGGTGTTTACACATCTGTTGACAGTGGGACACACTGAGGTGTTTAATTAGTGAGGGGCACAGGTCACGCTGACTGTAGGGTGGTGCCCTAGGTGGGGGACCTGGACTTCCAGCCCCACAGGAGGCTGCGAGGTTGTCTCGGGCGTCTCGCCTTTTTTATAGTGTGCCAGCAGTAGTAAGAAGAAGGGCCGCTGTCTCCCTGTTTAGGGTGCATCTGAGTGTGTTTGCCTATACACGGTGTGGGTCACACATGTGTATGTACAAGTTCTTTGTCCCCCACTCCCTGCCCCCTCATTCCTGGGAGCACAGGTCAGATGCTGAGACCTTGAATTTGGCAGCCCCCCTGCAGGTCTCCTCTGGTCATGGGCTCAGCAGTGCACCCCTTTTCCCCCATGGGGGTGACAGCTCACTCTATGACAGAGCTGCTGAGCCCCCCTTCCCCACCCCTGGTTGGATCCACCCAGGCAGGGCTCTGGATGTCCCTGGGCCCGTCAGGCATGGACCTGCCCCAGGCACAGTCCACACCTGCCTTTGCTGCAGGTACGCTGACCGGGCCAAGCAGATCCGTTGCAATGCAGTCATCAATGAAGACCCCAACAACAAGCTGATCCGAGAGCTGAAGGATGAAGTGACCCGGCTGCGGGACCTGCTCTACGCCCAGGGTCTCGGGGACATAACAGACAGTGAGTGTCCGCCCAGCAGGGCAGGTCTGCCAACGACTGCAGGCTTAGGGGACCGTGGGACCCAGGAGACGGCACCATAGCGAGTGTCTTTCTGGTCTAGGCAGGGCTGTGGTCTCAGACTTGGAGCTGTGGGACCTGCATGCCCAGGGTTTGCGCCACATCATGGGTAGTAAATGTCCCTACTGTGCCCAGACAGACTGACGGCTGGGCCTCAGAGCTGAGACCTTGCTCCTGAGACTGCCTGCATGGGTGGTGACACTCACAGTCTCTCTGGCCCAAACCCCTGCCCCTGCTCTGAGCTCCTGGAGGACGGGGGCCTCAGGGTGGAAGGCTGGCTGTCCTGGGAACCAGAGGAGCCGCTCTGGCTTGGCCGGGATGGAACTGTTGGGGGCAGGTTTGATGTTGGCCCAGGCTGGCCAGACTGGTTTCCTGAAGGCTCTTCCACCACGTGAAGGAGCTGGGCTGTGGTGTCCTGACATCCCCATGCTGAGGACCCGTCACCCGAAGACCCCAATCCTGCTCCTGGCTTTGGGGTCTGTGGTGGGCATGGTGGGGACTTGGGGACAAATCTGCTTTTCTGTTTCTGTCTCTCCTTTCCCACGCCTCTCCTGCCTTAGCCAACACTGTGCCCGGAGGACCCAAATGTGTGTATTCCCCTTGCTGCCCGTGCTCTGCTTGGCCTCACCCCATCGGGCACAGGGTGGCACGGTGGGGCCCAGCCCAGGGAGTGGGAGGTCAGAGGCCAGCTCTGCTTCTGGCCAGGCCCTTTTTAACAGGAAAAAGGCTCTGTGGGGCCGAGGTATAGCATACCTTATAGACTCCAGAAGCCGAGGCCAGGTTCTCTGACCTGTCTCACCCCACAAGGCCTGGGCGTCAGAATATCTGTGGCTCCGGCCCAGGGAGCGTACAGCCAACACTGCCGGTGGTGCTGGCTCATGGCCTTATCTGTCCCTGTACCCCAAGTCCTCCCCCTGGAAATGCTCACAGTGGGTTCTGACAGATCCCCTCAGGCCCCTACTGGCTGCAGGTCCTGCTGCAATGGCTGCAGGCGGCCTCGGTCCCTGCCCGTGCCACCCTGGGTCTGCTGCCCTGCTTTGTGTCTGCTTATGCCAGGAGGGCCCCAGGCACCCTAACCACGCCGTGTCACAGCCGCCTCTGTAGCTGAGGGGCATTGAGTCATGGGGGGCGGGGGGGGGGGGGGGAGTGGGAGCTGGTTCTTAGGGCCCTGGCAGCCTCGGGTGGAAGGAAAAGGGAGTTTCCAGTCCCCTCCCCCCACCCCACGGCAGGACAGCTCCAGACTGTGTCCTGTGCCCAGCTGGACCACAGAGGATGAGGGCAAGGGCTACTAGCCGGTGTAGGGGGCACTGGCCACATGAGGTCACAGAGAGGGATAGGGTCAGGGGAGCCTGGTGTCATGTGAGCCAGGTGTGGGGCCCCAGGGGTGGACACAGGCAGGTGACCGATCCTTGGACTGGAGATTGGATAGGAGGTTCGCCAGGGAGTGGGCATGGGGCCTGGCATCTGCTGTCTGCTGTCCTGGGCTTGGCTGACCCTGATGCTCTGAGGCTGCCATGCTGCTCTGGTTCTGCCTCCTCCTCACCTCCAGCTTTTTCACCATCTCTTCTCTCACCTGTCAGCTCACACCTGTCTCCCCCCACCCCGTCCCCACACACACACACCTCTCCACAGTCCTCTGGCTTCGAGATGGAGACCGCGGTGGCTGTGGGGCTGGGCTGAACCACCTTGACCCTCTCTCCACAGTGACCAACGCACTGGTGGGCATGAGCCCCTCATCCTCGCTCTCAGCCTTGTCCAGCCGGGCCGCCTCTGTGTCAAGTCTGCACGAGCGCATCCTGTTTGCCCCGGGCAGCGAGGAGGCCATCGAGCGGCTGAAGGTGAGGCCGGGCGCCACCACAGCGCACAAAGGACACAGACTGGGCTCCTCGGCATGGCCGGCTTGGCTTTAGTGAGCGCTGAGGAGGGGAGGGGAGCCCCTAGACCACCTGCCTGCATGCCCTCAAGGTCCTCTCAGATCAGGGAGTGACAGGAGCCACTCCTGCCCCCACGGCCCACTCTGCCCAGCGACACCAGGACTTGAGTGCTGAGGAGGATGGAGACTGGCCTCACATTCCCTTCCCTTCTGGCATGTTCTACAGGACACTGCATGCACATAAGGCCCCAAGCTCTCTGCCTTTGCACCCCCATTTTGAGGGGCTGAGGGGGGCTAGGAAGGGGATACTGGCCTGCAGTGGGAGGGCTGTAAGGCCAAGCCCAGAGCTGAGTGGGGAATGTGGGTGCTCAGGACCTAGACACAGAGCTGGGATGGGGGCATGGGATCCCACTGGGGCACGAATGGCCTCACTTGGATGGGGATCCACTTGGGGTATCAGGAACCCAGTTGGGAGTCCCACTGGGGTGTGAGAGGTGTGGGGCTGCATTGGGGTGTGGAGCTGGTGGGGAGGTGGTTGGGGGGTGGGTGAAGCTTCCTGAAGGACATGGACCCGGGTTCTCCATGGTGAGGGGCAGTGGGCTTCAGGACTGGCCTCGGGGTCCCAGGTGTGTGTGCCCTCCCCTCCGTGAGCCCTAGGCAGGTCCCTGTGACCTGGGATGCATGGGATGTGTGCTCTTCTCTGGCCCATCCTCCCCGATGCCCCCTGCCGACCCCACTGTCGCCGCTGTCCCCTTGGGTCCGCAGGAAACGGAGAAGATCATCGCTGAGCTGAACGAGACGTGGGAGGAGAAGCTGAGGCGCACAGAAGCCATCCGGATGGAGAGGTGGGTGCTCAGGGAACCAGGCCAGGGGGTGGGAGTGGGTGGGGAAAGACCATGAGCTCTCAGAAATGGGGGCGGTGGCCAGCAGCTCCCTACAAAGAGCGGGGAACCTGGGGCTGCACCTCGGCCCCATTCTAGGTGTGGCACAAACCCTCCCATGTCCCGCTGTCTCCCAAGCAGGGAGCGGGTGTCTGCCAGGGAGTTCCAGAGGCCGTCCGCCACGTTTCTTCCATGCACGTGGCCTCGGGTTTCCCTTGGCCTCATGCTGACTGGCTTCTGTCCCCAGGGAGGCCCTGCTGGCCGAAATGGGTGTCGCCATGAGGGAGGACGGTGGCACCCTGGGTGTGTTCTCACCGAAGAAGGTAGGCCAGCCCCCTGTCCCACAGAGCATTGCCACTTCAGCTTCCTGGGAGGCCAGAGGTGTCTGGGAGCAGAGGGGGTGCGTGGGGGGGGGGGATGGCCCTGCACCAAGGAGGGGTGCCAGCTCCCAGCCACAGCGAGATACCCCCTGAGGGAGCCATGCCTGCTTTCCTCTGTGGACCTCTCTGTGTCCATTGCCTGAGAGGTGTGCTAGGCTCCCCAGAGTCTGGGGCACCAGGGAGCTGGCCTGCAGTGGGGAGGACTGGGCAGTCAACATGGAGCTTGCGACAGTCGGATCCACCAGTTCTCACAAGGACCCCTCTCCACCCCCCAGGGAGGAGCACTTGCACCTGGGGTCTGCTTTTCTTAACAGCACTGAGCCCACCCTCACAAAGTGTATGAGTTGTGCCCCGCCCATTCTGTCCAGCACTGAGTGGGGCTCTTTTTGCATCTCATCTCAGCCCACCTATACTTGTGAGGCTATGCACACACGCACACATGCATCAACGTGCATAGAAGCACGCACACAGAAGATGACACGTCAGCCCAGGGTCCAGGGAGTTGAGCTCAAAACCAGTGATACATCCTGAAGTTGGAGGCAGTCTGGTCAGCCCTGTGCTGGCTCCTGGCTCAGAGCCCTATTGCTGGTGGTGGTGTTGGGTGACTGGCTGTGTTTGAAGGCGTTTCTATGTCCCTGTGGGCAGCAGCCAAGAACCCAGGGGAGAAGACCGTCAGGGCCCTGTTGGGAGGGGCCACTGTACCAGGAGCAAACGGGCGGGATGGGGGGACAGCCTCCGGTGTCTTCTCTAACCCCTACTCTCACTCCACAGGGGTGAGGGGAAGGGGAGATGCAGTGTGGTGGCAGCTCCCAGGGAGGGGCCTGAGGGGCCAGACTTGGGGGCATGGGGACTGGATGTGGCCTCGGGGTGCCCTGGGTGTCCAGGCCCAACCTAGTCCCCCACCAACCAGGCAGACATCAACAGGAGGTTCTGACCCCCCAGTGTGAACTGCCCTGATCAGGGGCCCAGCCTGAGGCTAGGTGGCCTGTGGAGGTGAGGCCCCAGGGGAGCCCCAGCAGCTGCTGCCCTGCTGGGCTGAGGGCCCCTGGCTGTGTGGGAGGCTGGGCCAGACAACCAGGCTGCCAGGCAGTGGAGTTGGGGGCATGGGACCAGGTGTCTAAGCAGAGGCCCCTTCCTGGAGGCTTTCCCCCTTGTGCCTGTCCCCTGTCCCCTCCCTGCACAACAGGCCCAGGGGTGGTCCGTCTTAGGGAAGGGGTAGAGGTGGGGGTGCTGGGCTCCAGCCCTCTCCCTGGGACAGATATCCCTCGCTCCTCCCTGCAGACGCCGCATCTGGTCAACCTGAATGAGGACCCGCTGATGTCTGAGTGCCTCCTCTACTACATCAAGGACGGGACCACCAGGTGCGAGGGCTGCTGCCGTCCGCCCGGCTCCCTGAGCCACTGCTCCGCTCTAGCTTCCTATGGCTGGCAGGGCTGTCCCTTGCCCCCCTGCTGACACAAGGCACCCAGCCTTCTCCCGCAGGGCATAGGGGTTCCAGGCCCCGGGTGATGGTGGTGTCCCCTGCAGAGTGGGCCGAGAGGATGCCGAGCGACGGCAGGACATCGTCCTGAGTGGGCACTTCATCAAGGAAGAGCACTGTGTCTTCCGCAGCGACTCTCGAGGCAGCAGTGAAGGTAACGCCCATTCCCCCAGCACGGTGGCCGAGGCAGATGGCCCCTGCCAGCAGTTGGGGTTGTCCTCCTCCCTGGGCCCCTGCCTATCAGGGTCCTCTCTGCGAAGGGGGTCCCGATGGAAGCAGGGCTGGGCTATCTCCCCTTCCTATCCTGAGGCTGTGGGCGCTAGCGGTCAGGACCTCGTCCATTGGGAGGAGGGAGTCCCAGATCTGGGGAGGGAGGCAATTTTAACCCCCTCTTAGCTGTTGTCGGGGAGTGGCCATGTGCCCAGGCTGTGGGGTGCTCCTCGGGACCCCCTTTGGCCTCGGAGTGGTCTCAGAATGGTGGTCCTGGGGGCTTCTCTGCTTGCTCCCACCCATCCCCCATGTCGTGTCCCCACAACCCACAAACCAACCACAGAAACCAGTGTGTTCCTCATCCTGTTGGGGGCTCCTGACTGCTCCAAGACCCACTCCCGGTACCTTGGCCAGTAGAGGGCTGAGGTATGGGGGGCTGCGCTTGGCAGTCAGCCCTGGGCAGGTGGCTAAAAGGTAGGTGCCCGCTGACCCCCATCCTCATCTGCCCCACAGCAGTGGTGACCTTAGAGCCCTGTGAGGGCGCAGACACCTACGTCAACGGCAAGAAAGTCACTGAGCCCAGCATCCTCCGCTCAGGCACGGTGGGACGGGCCCGGTGGGGAGGTTTCCAGGGCAGGGGCTGGGGTGGTGTGGAGCAGGGTGGGCTGGGGAGGTGACAGGGGGTAGTGTGTGTGTGGGGGGACAGGAATGGGGTGGTGGCAGGGATGGTGCAGGCAGAGGGAGGGGTGGGACAAGTCTACAGCCTCACGGGCTGCACAGGGATGTGGGGGGCCCTGCTGAGTCACCTCTTGTCCATCTCCTGTGATCCCTGGATGCAGGCCCTTGTCTGCTGCCTGCTCCCAGGAGCCTGTTCTTTGGTACTGATGGGCCAGATGGTCAGTCAGGAGGGGCAGGGGCCAACCTCCACACTCGGGCCCTGGGGTTCAAGCCTGGCCATGTGCATGGGGCCCCACTACAGGATGAGGATGTGTGTTCAAGAAGGTGGGTAGGGTGTCTTGTCTGAGGATGAGGCAGACCCCCAGCCCAGTGGGGGCCGGTGAGGAGGAGCTGGGAGGGCACCCCGGCTTAGGTGCCTGCCGGTCTGTGGGGGGTGGGAGTGTAGACTGGGTCTGTAGCAGTTCTGGCATCTGCATTCCTATGGTGTGTCTTACGGAGGTGGGCACCAGCCTAGACAATTGCTTCCACCCCCCACTGGACATTTGGAGCAGGCTTGGTCTTGGGTCTCAGAGCTCAGGCTGAGGGGGAGACTCAGTTTGGGGTGCTCTTTCCTGGTGACTGAGCTGGGTGTGCAGGCCTGAGGGCAGGATGGCCAGGGGAGGTGACACAGCAAGTCACATGGGAGACCAGTGGGGGTGAGGGGGTGCTGGCCTGTAGACATGGGGGCCAGGGGTGAAAAAGTGGTACTGGCCTGCCATGTGGGAACCCAGGGTAGGCAAGGGGGTGCCACAGACAGATGAGCGAGCAGGGGGTGAGGGGACCAGTTGGGGTGGTGGGGGACAGGCCTATAGACATGGGCTCAGTGGGGTGAGGGGAAAATGGACACATGGGGAGCCAGTAGGAGGGGAAGGGGCTGCAGGTGAGGAGGTTTGTCCAGGTGTGGGGATGTCCCTGCAGGAGGGTGTTGGTACCCTGGTTTTGGGTTGAGAGCCGGGACGGTGGCCAGTAGGGCCGTCCCCCACCCCACCGGGGTAGGAGAGCTGCTGGCCATTTCAGCGGGTGCCCATGCCCTCCCCCCACTCCAGGGAACCGCATCATCATGGGGAAGAGCCACGTGTTCCGGTTCACCCACCCGGAGCAGGCGCGGCAGGAGCGGGAGCGCACGCCCTGTGCAGAGACCCCCGCAGAGCCTGTCGACTGGGCCTTCGCACAGCGGGAGCTGCTGGAGAAGCAGGGCATTGACATGAAGCAGGAGATGGAGCAGAGGTGAGGCCGGTGGGTGGGGCGGGAGTGGGGTTGAGGTGAGGCAGGGCCATGGGGTTCAGTCAGGGTGGCCCACCCCCTGACCCTTGCCATCCCCCCCCATGCCGCCCTTACCAGGTTGCAGGAGCTGGAGGACCAGTACCGCCGGGAGCGTGAAGAGGCCACCTACCTCCTGGAGCAGCAGAGGGGACTCTGGTTGCCCCTGGGGTGGGGGAGTGGGTTGCTGTTCAGGCTCCCCGAGGGCCCCGCCAGGCCAGGCACAGAGCCAGCATGTGGCCGTCCTCCCAGGACTATGAGAGCAAGCTGGAGGCCCTGCAGAAGCAGATGGACTCCCGGTACTACCCCGAGGTCAATGAGGAGGACGAAGAGCCCGAGGATGAAGGTGAGGGACTGTGCTCATCAGGAGGACACAGTGAGCACACGCATGCACCCACACGTGCCACATGTACACACACTGTAGCATGACTATGAAAGGACACATGCACACGTGTGTACACTGCATACAAGCACGTGCATGTATGTTATGCACACCATAATATGCATTCACATGTGTATACACAGTGCACTCACACATGCCCACAAACATGCCTACACACAAATTTACACACGTGTATGCATACGCACAGGTGTGTTTGCACATACAGCACACACAAGCATACAGTGAGTACACACATAGACATGTGTACACACAATTGTACTCACGAGTGCACACACACATACATATGCACACACATGGCGCGGTTCTGAATGCCCTGCCCTGCCAGAAGGGGTGCCTTCTACCCCGCCCCTGCAGGTCTCCCACTGAGTGTCTGCTCTGAGCTGGTGTCCAGTGCTGGCGTCCGGGCACAGGGACTGGGGTCAGCTTGTGACCTATGTAGCACTGGGTGGACAGCGTGAGGGCTGTGCGCAGAGGGCAAGGAGCCCAGGGTCTGGAGCAGCTCTCCTGGTGGCTGGTTTAGAGAGAGCCTCTGAGCTGGGTGGGGGTGAGGACCATCTTTCCACCTGCCTCCTCTCCTGGGCCACCAGCCCAGGCTGTTTGCCAGGCCCCACCTCTGCACCCCATCTGGTCCACTGCAGACCCATGCATACCCCAATTCCAATGGCGGGCACCTGGCTGGCTGGGTGGCTCCCGGTGCCCAGCCATTCTCTTGGAGCCCGGAGCCCACTGCCCACAGCCTTGCGCAGTGCATGCTGGCCTCTTTACAGCCCCCTTGGACACTGCTTCCTCCATGCCCTCCTGTTGGCCGGGGAGGGAGGGAGGGAGGGAGGGAGGGAGGGAGGGAGTGTGTGTGTGTGTGTGTGTGTATGTGCGCGCGTGCGTGCTCTGGGCTGCTGCCTCCTGGCTGGCTGGCTCTAACCTGAGCTCTGCTGGCTGTGGGGCCTCGGGGGCACAGGGCAGGCTCAGGTGCTTGAGGGGTGAGCCCTGCGGTTTTCATGATGACCACGCGACCTGTCTCCACAGTCCAGTGGACGGAGCGGGAGTGTGAATTGGCGCTTTGGGCCTTCCGGAAGTGGAAGTGGTACCAGTTCACGTCCCTGCGAGACCAGCTTTGGGGCAATGCCATATTCCTCAAGGAGGCCAACGCCATCAGTGTGGAGCTCAAGAAGAAGGTGGGCCCATCCTGCCCAACAGAGAGCCCACCCAGGTCCTGGCTTCAGACCTCGTGTGTCCCAGAAAGGACCCAGAATCCTGTCCTCAGACATAGTAGTGTCGGAGAGAACCTTGCCCCCACCAGCTCACAGACTGCATAGCATCTGGTGGGAGAACAGCACAAACCACACCTCATCTGGGTCCCCCTTCACCTGACACCCCCTTACCTGACTGCCCTCCTCATCTGACCCATACCTCACCTGGCTCACACCTCCCCTGGACCCCACATCACCTGACCTTGCCCACTGCGATCGGCAGTGGGGGACTTGGATGAGTGGTCAGTGGTGGCACCTTTGCCACCAGGGCCTTCTAGAAGGCCAGGAGAGTGGCTGTTGGGGGCAGCAGGGTCTCGGGCAGGCTGTGTGGAGACCCCCCTGCCTCAGGGCTGATGAGCGGCCCTTCACACTGGCTCCAGGTCCAGTTCCAGTTTGTCCTGCTCACGGACACACTCTACTCCCCGCTGCCCCCGGACCTGCTGCCCCCTGAGGCTGCCAAAGACCGGGAGACACGCCCCTTCCCCCGCACCATAGTGGCTGTGGAGGTGCAGGACCAGAAGAATGGGGCCACCCACTACTGGACGCTGGACAAACTCAGGTGCGCTGGTCTAAGGCCACAGGACCAGAGTGCTTTCCCTGACACTGGCACTGCCAAGGGAGAAGTTTCAGTGTTTCTATGGAGATGGGGCGGTGAGCTGGGCCTCCAGTGTAGGGCATTGTCACCAGGCCACCCAGCTGGGCCCTTCTGGTCCACTCCATCCCTGTAGGAGGCTTCCCTCTGCTACCTGAGAGAGGGGCTAGGGTGAGACCACCCAGACTCAACACATGTACACACACTGCTTCATGCTGTAGCACACTCATACTTGTATACACAACGCACACGTGGCCATACCTGGACTCACCTCAATAGGAGATGCACACACACGTGGACTCACACTCACTCCCACACAGTCAAATTCATACACACTCAAGCATGGTCACACCTGGACTCAGCTCAGTGGCAGATGCACATGCACTCACATGTAGACTCATGCTCACACACACTTTTACATATGATTGGTCACATCTAGATTCACATCATGTGCTCACACCTGTATACACTCGGACCTGAACTTTGGCCTCCCTGCTGGCCCTATCCTCAGGGCACCTCGGCCATCTGAGTCCTTCCTGCCTACGAGTTGAGTCAGACTCACAGCGGCCTGGAGAGCAGAGGAGAGTGCCCATGGGATCCTGGGGTGTGAACCCCCACAGGAGTGGAAAGCCCCTTTGGTGGCTTCTAACCACTGATTTTGTGGTTAGCCACCCAGGGCCTAGCCCAGCTTAAAGTATGAGGGGCTTCAAAGAGTGGGTGGGAAAAGGAATTAGATGCTGGTGGGATTTACCCATGAGTGTTTGAAGCTCTCTTGTGTTTCCCTGGGCATTTGGTCCCCAGCACCAATCTGTCCTGGCTCTGCACTGGGACCCCATTTCAGAGCAGCCCCTCCGCCAACATCTCCCTTTTTACTGCCACACTCTGCTCCTGTCCTGTGCTTGTCCTGACCCACCTGCCTGTCCAAGGTCTCTGTGGCCATTTGGCTGGATTTAGGAGGGATCCTAGTGCCATGCGATTGGCAGAACTGGTCCATGTTGGGTGCAGAAGGCTGCAGAATCTGGCACGGTTGGGGCCCAGAGGGGCAGTGACTGGAGCTGGCGAGCCCATTGACCGCCCCCTGCAGGCAGCGTCTGGACCTGATGCGGGAGATGTATGACCGGGCAGCCGAGGTACCCTCCAGTGCCATCGAGGACTGTGACAACGCAGTCACCGGCGGGGACCCCTTCTACGACCGCTTCCCCTGGTTCCGACTGGTGGGCAGGTGGGTGCCCTGCCCTCCCCCCTGGCCGGGAGAGGGTGAGGGAGCCGAGGGCTGGTCCCAGTGTGGAGGAAGGAACCCCAGGGGTGTCCAGTGGCCTGGACTGAGTGTCCTTCCACCCCCCGCATGAGGCCTGGGGTGCAGGGTTGCCGTGCCAGGGTGAGAGTGGGCCTGGTACTGGGGTGGCCCTGGGCCTCGGGCAGGGCTGTGGGGCCACTTGGCCTTGAAGGGGAGCAGGGCAGCAGGCAGGACCATCACCTTCCCTCAGAGGCCACCTTTCCCTGGTCTCCCAAGCTGAGGTCCCCCGCCCACCACGGGGTGGTCCCTCACCTCAGTCACAGGCATCTGACCCCCATACCCCAACATCCTGCCAAAGCCTGTGTGGGCCCCCTCCACATGTTCTCTGGCTGCAGTGGGGGACAGTGCCTTGGGGCATTTGTCTCTTGGAGAGCCACCTTCTGGACGGATGCCAGGCTGGGCTAACCTCTCGTGTCTTGTCCCACTAACCTCAGTTCCCTCGTCTCTGGCTGCGACAGCTACCCTCTTCTCCACACATGCATGAGCGAGCGCATGGCTGCTCTCACCCCCTCCCCCACCTTCTCGAGCCCCGACTCCTCCGATGTCACCGAGCTGGCCGAGGAGCGGAGCGTGGGGGAGGAGGAGGAGGAGGACCTGGAGGACGACGCCGTCTTTCCGGAGCACGCGCTGTGCCACGTCCGGGACCCGTTTTACGACCGGCCCCCCCTGTTCAGTTTAGTAGGCAGGTTGGTGAGGCCGAGGCGTGCACGCTGCACAGAGCACTGCCGGGGCACATGCATCCCTGTGCTGGGGCCCAGGTGTGCAAGGTGTGCAGGGACCAGGTGTGCAAGTGCCAAGGTGCGCAGGATCTAGGTGTGTGGGACCCAGGTGTGTGAGGACCTAGATACGAGGGGACCAAGTGTGTAAGTAGTTGTACAGAGATCCAGGTGTGCAGGGTCAAGGTGTGCAAGTACTGAGGTGTGCAGAGCCTAAGTGTGTGAGACCCAGGTGTATGGAACCTGGGTGTGCAGGGCAAAGAGGGGTGTAGGAGCTGGCCACCCTGAGGAGAGGGTGACGAGGGAGCAAGGGTCTCCCTCCGGCATGTTCCAGAGCATTTGTCTTCCACCTGGTCTTTGTGACCTGCTTGAAGGAGGGCGGAGTTTGGGCCCCAGTGGTGTAAGGGACAGTGTGGCACTGAGCCCGAAGCCCTGCTTCCAGATATAAGCTGAGCTCAGACCACCTGCCAGACAGGTGAGGGTCTTTGAAGAGACCTTGGGCACAGGGACAGAGCCACTGGCCAGTCCTTGGACACTGAGAGCCTTCTGGAGTTCTTGGGCCAGCCAGCCAGGCCATGGGAAGGTGCGATGGGCCCCATGGAGCTGACCCCTCAGGGCTGCCTCCAGCCTCTTCCTCACTGGCGGTGCTTCTCCACCGACCAGGCACGGCCCCATGGAGTGCTCAGGGCTGTCCTTCTGAGGACAAGGTGTGTCCAGAGGGCCTGGTGCTTGGTGATGGACAATTGCTTGGTCACCTGGCTCTGAAGTCACTCCCCTGCCTGTCTCTTGTATGCAGGTGGTACCATCTCTGCTGACTTCCAGGTCACTGCAGGAGGGGACATGGTGGGGGAGAGGCTGTGGGGTGGCCTGGGAGGGGGGAAGGGCAGAGTGAGAGCGAGTCAGGTGAGGGAACATCTGGCAGGTCCAGCAGTGGAGGGACAGCTCCCAAAACGAGCCAACATGCTTCAGAATCAGAGACTGTGTCTGTTTGAGATTGATTCCTTCGGCCAGCCTGGCAGATGTTTCTGGAGGTCTGGACCTTGGTTTTGAGCCCCATGCGCAAAACTGATGTCCATGGGACTGAGGGCCCCACCTCTAGGGCCACATGCCAGGGTCATGGGCTGATAGACTTGTTTCCGCTGAGGTGACCCAGCTGCCAGTGTCCCTGAGAAGCTGTGTGTCTGTCCTCACGGGTAGGGTGCAGTCCGAGAGAGGGGTGTAGCCTGCCATGCTCGGACCCGGGGCTGCCAGGCCCCCTAGACTGCTGAGCCCTAGGGTGACTGGTGTGTCTGAGGGGACTGAGAAGCTGGGGAGAAATGGGGTAGGCCCTTGCAGTCTTGGCTGGAAAGAACTGGGTCCTTCAATACCATCCCCCTTCTTGTCAGTCTGGGATTTTACAACCAGACCAAGCAGAGTAGCTGAGAGGTGCAGCTGCACGCTGCCTAGGGGTCTCTGCACAGGCTGCCTCTGGAAGCTTCCGGAGGGTCTTTGGTTTGCCAAGGTCTGGCTTCTCCCGCCCCAGGGTGCACTTCCAGGGCTGGGGTGGGGGTACAGGGCGTGTCTTTGGAGCGCCTGTCACCCTGGCTCTGCTCCAAAGCTTCCGTGACCTCCTCTGGAGTCTTCTGTGCCAGCATGCCTCTTCCTCACCACCCCCGGCAGCTCCTACCCTCCTCTGCAGTCAGCCCTGCTGCTCCACCCCTTTCCGGGAGGAGGCTTCAGTCTGCTTCAAGGTCCCCGCCTTCTGGACCAGGCTGCTAGCCTGACCCTGTGCCCCCCGATCATGGCCCCCTGCCCCCAGCCCAGAGCTGGTCCCTGGTGGGCCCAGGACTACCCTCTGGGGCTTGGGGTTTCTGAGGAATGTGAAATGGGGCCAAAGCCGCCACCTTCCTGCTGCCTAGGGACACAGTCTGGGCTTTCAAGGCTAGTCCCTCTTGCCCCACTGATGCTTCCAGAAGAAGCTAGGGGCGCAGGGGTCAGTGGAGAGGGCAGATGGCATGCAGCTGACCCTGAGATAGAGGGACTGAGGGCGAGGAGGCGCTGCTCAGGGTGCGATGTGTGGACTGGCCAGTGGGAGGGCCTGATGTCCACTTGGTGAGGAGAGGCTGTGCATGCTTGCAGTGGGGTGGGCTGATGACTGCTGGCCCCTGGCATTGGAGGGCTCAGAACCACCGTGGCCCCTGGGCTGCAACACATGCTGCCCCCACACACTTGGGGATGCAGTTGGGGTGTGTCTTCAGCCTGGTCCCCGGCCCTGGCTCACAGCCCTCCATAGGGTGCTGGCCCCAGAGGTTCATTTAAGCACATTGGATGCCAGCGTGATACCCTGCTGAGGCCGTGGCCCCGCCTGGGCCCCGCCGGGCTGGGGACAGGTCAGGGTTGGCCACAGGTTCCAGGTCTATAACTCCAATGGCCCCGCCCCATGGACAACACTGTCTCCAGCCAAGTCCAGTTCCAGCTTGTCTGCCCTATGGACGAGGCCAGTGATGGCCCTTGAGGACGTTTGGGATCTGTGTCCCTTGTCTGATGAGAGGACACTCAGGGAGACCAGGGGAGGGTTGGCTAAACTGACCAATTAACCACTCAGCTAAGCTGCTGGCCCTGTACTGCCTTGGCCTCTGTTCCTGTTTCTCTCCAGAACGGGGCATGGGTGATGTGTTACCCCAGGTCTGGGTACTGTCTGAGGCCGTGTGTGTCCGCTGTAGATGATACAGCCCACGTGTGTTTGGGGAGGGGACAATGTGGGTGTTGTCAGTCCATGAGACAGGGCTCCCTCCTCCCCAGGCTGTGGGAGGTCCCTGCCCTAATGGGAATGTGCCCCCCCATACCTGGCACATGTAAGTGGACTGACTGTGCTCACATTGAGCCTGGTCACCTGCCCACATCCTAGCTCACCCCTGGCTGCCGCAGGATGGGGGAGCATCCACTCTAGGGAGAGCAGTCTTGGAGTGCAAAGAGGCCAGGGCCTGGCTGCCTCAGTTTCCCCTCAGCATGGCAGACTGTTTCTCTGGTCCCCTGGGGCCTCTTGGAGGGTAGGGTGGGAGCAGTCATGTGAGGGAGGAGCAGCCTTGCCCCTCTGGGTGTGTCCAGGGACACCCACACACCCAGAGTCACTTCCTGGCACCAGGAATTTTGGACTCAGAGCCAGCCCAGCCGACTCTCAGGCTCAGTCCCCAGGAGCTCCCAGGCACCCTGTGCTGGCCATCTAGCCCTGGTTGAACTGGCCTCTCCATGGAAGGCTGTTGTGTGGGCTAAGGGGTCCTTGCCTGGCCCCCAAGGGAGGTGTCCCCACCCTATCCCGAGGCCCCTGTGGTGAGAGTGCTGAAGGCCAGGCACTTGCCTCCGCCTGGGACACTGTCCTGGCTGCACCGCAGTGGACACTCCCTCCTGGACAAGACTTGGCCTGATGAGGGCTTCAGGTTGGGACTGGGGCTGCTCGACCAAGGGACCCTGTGGGGCTGAGCTGTGAGGAGAGTGAGTCGTGTGTTTGAGGCAGCCCACCGGAGCAGGCATCTCAGAGCCGGAGGTCCTTGGAGTGAGGCCAAGAGACAGCCTGGGCTCCGACCTTGGGTCCAGAGGGAAGGCAGGTGCCACACGAGCTGCTGCCTCCTGCCCTCACCCACCCTCAGGCTGACTGGTCCCTGGACTCCGAGAGCCTGCCCCCTCCTCCACCGTACACTCACACCCTCAGTCAGCCCTACAACCTGCAGGGTCCTTGGGGTGGGGGTGTCCCTGAAGTCTTGTTCTCTGCACCCTGTCAGAACATGGAGAACCAGGACCCTGAGGCCATTCATCATTTGCAGCATGTCACACTGCCCACCTTTAGGGCATTCCCCCACCCTACTGCCCACCTTTAGAGGCATCCCCCACCCCACTGTCCATCTCCAGGGGCATTCCCCCACCATACTGCCCATTTTCAGAGGGCATTCCCCTACCTCGCTGCCCCCCTTCAGGGCATCCTGTGCACCTCCCTGGCCTCTGTCACTGCACGTCAGTGGTATGGCCTTTGCCCAGCCAGTTGTCCCCAGACCCTGGCTAATGCCCTTCAGGCTGAAGTGCCTGTGAGGACCCCTGAGAAGCACCTGGGTCAGTGGGCGCTGGCTGCCCCCCTCCTGGTTGTCACCATTGCATGGCCCTCAGTATCACTTTAGACATGGCCAGGTGACTGCACCTGTCCCCATAGGCAGTGACCCTCCCACCCACCCTTGTGTCCAAACTCTGCCCCATAGAACACCTCCCTGGCGTGCTTGTGGTCTACATGCCTCTGGGTCTGGGCTGTGCCTAGAGGTCAGGGAGGCGGAGCAGTGAGCAGAGGAGGCAGCACTACTCTGGCATCCAGCCTCAAGTCTGGGAGGGTCAGTAGGTCTTGGTGCTCCAGGAGGGTGACTCCCCAGGCATGGGGCTCACCCCCAGGTGGTGCCCCAAATGACAGTTTTGAGCACATCAGCCCCTGCCTGGTCCCTGTGTCCTGGCTGCTCCGCAGGCAGGGAAGTTGAGGGCGGCCCAGTGAGCCCTTCACCCCGGGCTGTGGGGTGCTCAAGGGGGCTGAGAATTGTAAGGAATTGTGGGACCTGTGGAGTAGGGGAGGGCCCCATGTAAGGATTCTAGGCCAGCTTCTTGAAGCAGGCTGAAACTCCCTCCCGGCACCTGCGCAGACTGGACAGGGCCGGCTGCCTCGTCTCTTGGCCTCCTCCATCTCGCCCATGCCCACCTCCCTCCTTGCTGCCCTGCTTGTGGCTGCTCGCCTGCTCTGCAGCTCTGCATTCGTCACGTCTAGGCCAGGCCCTGCAGCTGTTCCCCTGGCCGGAGCTCGCGGGGCACTGACCATGGCTTCTTCTCCCCCAGGGCCTTTGTGTACCTCAGCAACCTGCTGTATCCTGTGCCCTTGGTCCACCGCGTGGCCATCGTCAGCGAGAAGGGTGAGGTCAAGGGCTTCCTGCGAGTGGCCGTCCAAGCCATCTCAGGTGTGTGCCAGCCAGCCGGCTGGGCAGGGGCCCAGGGTCAGGGTTTTATGGTCATTGTGAGGGCTGGTCACAGCAGCTGGAGCAGCAATGGCACTGGCCCGAGGAGAGGTGGTTGGGGGCTCTGTCCCTGGAGGCTCTTCCACACTCCCCTCTGGGGTCCCCCAGTGCTGCATGTCTTAGTGGGTGATGTGGACTCTACTTTGGGGTATACCAAACAGCCCCATGGTACAGTGACATTGGTGGCAAAGGGGACTTGGGCAAGGCCACAGCCTGTTACGTTTCAGATCTGGGGCTCTGGCTCTGTTGGCATGGGCCCCACTGCTCACCTTAGGTGGGCACTGTCAGTGGCAGGTTGGAGCCACTATGAGCACAGACTCAGGCCAGAGGTATTGATGCTCAGAGGGTCCCCTGGGTGGTGTGACAGGCCCAGGCCTGTGCTGGGAGCAGGAGGGGCAGAGACGGAGAAGGGCCTGACTGCTGGAGGGAGGGCCTGTCAAGCTCCAGGAGGGGTTTTTGGCGGGGGTGCGGGCATACGGTTTAGAAATGGGTAGGGGTCCCTTAGACAACCAAGAGCCAAGGGTCTAATTTCAGGCCCAGTGGAAGCCTCAGGGAACGTCTAGCAAAGTGGACGTGGGGGCTGGGGTCTCACCCTGAGAATGGTGTTGCTGTGGGTTACAGAGTCCCTGCAGCCGGCCGAGCAAGACGTCCGTGTTCCCGAGCTTGGTTCTCACGAAAGGTTGCTGGGTGTTAGGAAGGGCCTTTTCCAGGCCGACCGAGGTGACCTTGTGGTGTTTCTCTCAGAGACTGGGTCAGCTCCGTGGCTCCTGCCCACACCAGCCTGGTCCCTGGTGTTGGCAGGCACTAGCGTGTCCAACCCATCACCCTCAGCCTTGGGCTCAGTCCGCCTTGCTCTCCGTATGCTGCTGGCTTTGATGTACTGATATCGTGTAGAGAGGGGTCTTTACCTGTTTACCCATAGGGGATGCTGATCTGTCGTAGTCTTGTGGTGTCCTTGTCTAGTGTTGGTACTGGGGTGAAGCTGGGCCCCTAGTGTGGGTTAGGACTTGTTTCACCTCCTCTAATCTTTGAAGTGTTTGGGAAGCATGGGTGCTGGTGCTTCTTGAGAGTGTGCAAGAATTCACTGATGGAGGCATCTGGTCCGGGCTCCTCTTCCTCGTCATCACTAACCCAGTCCCTGTCAGAGGTCGCTCAGGTCTTCTGTTCCTCCAGGAGTCCGTTTATGGAATTGGTGCTTCCAGGAGTTTACCCATTTCCTCTGGGCTATCGGTTTGTCAGAAATTTTGTGTGTGGCCCTGGTCAGTGTGACTGTGACAAGGGAGGGTGTCTGATGGGGACATCGGGAGTGGGCCCAGGCTTGTGTTGAGGCATGCCGAGACAGAGAGCACCTGGTGGTCTCTGAGTGCTTGTTAGTGGTGTTGGGGCTCCACCAGGGCTCGGTGGCCCATTTTTGTTCCCCATCTCTAGCCCCATCCCATGGGGACATGTGGCTGTGCTCCGAGCACACTTAGCTCTTGGTCCCCAACTTCCCTGCTCGATTCCTCTTTCAGCTGATGAAGAAGCTCCCGATTATGGCTCTGGTGTTCGCCAATCAGGAACCGCCAAAATCTCCTTTGACGATCAGCATTTTGAAAAGGTATTGTAAGGATGAGGTGCGCAGAGGCAAGGCTGTGGTGTGCTTGAGTGGAGCACCATGAGGGGCACCCTGTTTGGGGGAATCTTGTCGTGGGGGGAGATCAGACGACTCTTTCCCCCTCTCCCACTCCTCTCATTGAGCTGAAGGCTGTGTGATGCCCTGTTACCAAGATAGTGCAGCCTCAGACAGTAGAGTCCAAAGGGGACTTTGAGGTCAATTCATATCAGGGCAACTGAGGCTTCTGGAGGTGGGTGCTCTGCCCAAAGCCGATCATGCCTGGCATGCAGTTCTGTGAAGGTCCAGGCCCAGGCTCCTGAGTAGACTGGGCTAGTGGACTGGGCCCTAGACAGGGTGGTGTATGGCCCTAGCCCAGGAGGGCTCTCTGTCAAGCTCCGGGTCTCCTCTGACTATCCTCCTCCTCTGCACAGTTCCAGTCTGAGTCCTGCCCCGTGGTGGTGATGTCCCGCTCAGGGACTTCCCAGGAAGAACTGCGCATTGTGGAAGGACAGGGCCAAGGTGCTGATGCAGTGCCCTCTGCTGACGAGGTCAACAATAACACCTGCTCAGGTAGCCACCCTGCTTCCTCTGCCCAAGACAGTGAGGGATGTGGGTGCCCCCACTCAACCGATCACACTCCGGGGCCAGCCCCTCTAAGCTGTGACCCCAGTCAGCTGAGGCCTTCAAGGGGTCCTTGTCTGGCTCCTGGGGGCCCAGTTCCCTTGGGGTGCCCTTGTCACATCGCTCTCCCCGTGGTCTCCCGCAGCGGTGCTTCCTGAAGGCCTCCTAGACAGCCCAGAGAAAGCAGTGCTGGACGGGCCCCTGGACACTGCTCTGGACCATCTCCGCCTGGGCAGCACCTTCACCTTCCGTGTGACGGTCCTGCAGGCATCCAGCATCTCTGCTGAATACGCGGACATCTTCTGCCAGTTCAAGTGAGCCCTTGCCCTGCATCTCCAGGGGTTCTGGGGGGCCTTGTTCCTTGCCCTTAGCAAGACACCGGCCTGGGGCCAGGACGTGGCCAGTGGGGTGCCAAGCTCCCCCAAGTGGGCCAGACCAGACGTCCTCTTTGTTTGTAGCTTTATCCACCGCCATGATGAGGCCTTTTCCACGGAGCCTCTGAAGAACACGGGCCGGGGTCCACCACTCGGCTTCTACCACGTCCAGAACGTATGTCTAGAGAACCCGTGCCCACCCCACCCCCTCCAAGCGGGCACTCATCTTCCCCATTGCCTGTGCTTCCTGTCATCCTCTCTCCTGGTCATCTGCTCTCCCCACCACCCACACTCCCATCCTCTTAAAATCTCTTTATCGCCCATTCTTCCCCCACCATTCGTTCTTCCCCAGTATCCATTCCCTTTACTTATTCTCCCCACCATCCATTCCCCACACTTATTCCCAGTGTGCATTCTCCCCATCAGTCGTTCTCCATGTTAATCATTCTCCCCATCATGCACTCTTCCCATCACGCATTCTCCCCATCTTTCATACACCCCACCATCTGTCCCCCCATCATGCTTTCTCCCACCATTTGTCCCCCACATCATTTATCTCCTGTCATCCAATCTCCTCGTCATCTGTCCTCCCCACCACTCATTCTTTGTCCCCTGAACACCAGCCGTGTGCCCAGCTGAAGCATGGGCACTGCTCCTGGGAAGTTGGGAGCTTTGGGCAGCCCTGGCCTGGGCATCAGGAAAGGGGGTGGGAATGGCGCACAGAGGGGGCCTACGCTGGGTGGAGAAGGACTCCGTGCCAGCTGCCGGGGGGTGGAGAGAACAGAGATGCTCAGGGTGGGGCAGGTGCCAACCCCATGGAGCCAGGTGGGCAGCACAGGGGAGAGGTATGACCTTGGTGACCACAGATGCTGAGGGTGGGGGGCCTGGAGTGAAAGATGGCCCACCTCACTACTCTCACTGCCAGCAAGTCAATTCCAACTCATAGAGAGCCTGCAGGACAGAACAGAGCTGTCAGTCTTTGCAGGAGCAGACAGCCTCGTCCTTCTCCCAAGGAGCAGCTGGTGATTTCGAACCACTGGCTTTGCTCTTAGCAGCCTAACTCATAACCGCCACGTCAACTGGGTCCTGCAAACTGCAGAGCCAGTGCTGGTGGCAAGGCAATAGGGCCCTTCTGAAGGCCACTCCCAAGTGCAGGGCCCAAATTCAGGCAAGAGCCTGGAACTCCCCTAAGCCTGGATCGGGCCCTTGGGCCCTCCGACACACTCTGGGCCAGAATGTGGGCACGAGCCCGGGAGGGAGGAGCTCAGTGAACGCTGCAGGCGAGGCCAGGCTGGCCCTGCCCACCTTGTGTGCCACCCCTAGATTGCTGTGGAGGTGACCAGGTCCTTCGTGGAGTACATCAAGAGCCGGCCCATCGTCTTCGAGGTCTTTGGCCACTACCAGCAGCACCCGTTCCCGCCGCTGTGCAAGGGCGTGCTCAGGTCAGCGGCTGGCAGGGATGCACTCCTGCTCACCCCTCTCACCGGCCTGCCCTGAGTATGGGGCTCCCAGCCCTCTCCTCCTGCTGCCCCCATTCTCTCCGCCCACGGGCCTCTGTGTGCAGGCTCAGCCTGCACCAGCTTCCTCCCCTGCAGAACTAAGAGGACACCCTGAGGATGCCCTGTTGCCCACCCTGGAGTCCCTACCAGTACTGGACAGCAGGAGGCCCTGGCGTGGCCCTGGGAAGGGGCAGTTTCTTCTGTGCACTGGGAACTGTGAGGATGCCCAGCTAGTCTCTGTCCTCAGAGTCTTGGGCATCCCAGGAGCGCTGTCCACTTCCTTATCAACACGGCCTCCCAGGCTGGGCATGGAGGCCAGGACCCCCTCTGAGCTGGGCCTGGAGGGTGGGAGACCCGGGGCCAGGCCCATAGCTCTGAGAGGCCCCTGGGGCTCGGGCTCGGGTGACCTGAGGCTTGGGGGCCGGAGGACAAGGAAGGGCTTTACGGTTCTCTCGTGTGCTTGGCCCAGTAACCTCATTTGCCCCTGGGATACAGGAGACACCCTGTCTGGACACTCCCCCTCTTTCCATGGCCTCTAGGGTCCCCAGGCATCCGGGAGAGGGGCTGGGCATCCTGAGGGTTCCTCCTCTTCTAAGTCAGGGAAGAACCTGAGACAGGGACCTTACCCATTCTGGGGAGTGGGTGGCTGCCCCCAAGCTCCAAGACCAGCCTGGGGTGAGGACCACTCCAATCTGGGGTCTCCATGAGCACTGCTGGTCCGTGGGGGTGCCTTCTGGCTGGGCCCTCCCTCAGCCTGGCATCTTCCTCTACAGCCCCCTGAGACCCTCACGCCGGCACTTCCCACGTGTCATGCCACTGTCCAAGCCAGGTAGGTGGGGCCCCACTGTGTGGGACTCAGGGGAGGGGGTGCTGCCATTATTTTGGGCTCTGGGGGTGCTCCCACTGTGTGGGACTCTGGGGGTGGGGCACTCCCAGTGTGTTAGACTCTGAGACCAAAGTTGTGGGTTCCCCCGAGAGGAGCTGTGCCCCTCCAGCTAGGCTCTCTCTCTTAAGGTGAGGTGGCTTCAGAAAGGGGCTGCCCCTCCCCCTCCTGGAAGGATCCAGAGCAGAGGACCCTGTCAGCTGGGCAGGGAGGAGGCCAGCATCACTTCTGTCCCTTCATGCCTGGGGGCTGGGGCCTGCCTGTGGCAGGACAGGGCTAGATGCTGGAACAGGGATGGGGTGGGGTGGAGTGGGGTTGATCAGAGAGGGGAGGGTGTCCTCTCTACCTGTAAACCCTCTGCCCCCAGACTCAGGAGAAAACACACACACACACACCCCTCCCTCTCCCAGTGCCCCTTCCCCACCGGTGAGTCAGGACCTTATCTGCTTCCTCTTGTCCCCAGTGCCGGCCACCAAGCTCAGCACAATGACAAGGCCCTCCCCAGGGCCCTGCCACTGCAAGTATGACCTGCTGGTCTACTTCGAGATCTGTGAGCTGGAGGCCAATGGAGAGTAAGGACCGGTGGGGGTGGGGGAGGGGGGAAGGCAGGCTCTGGCTGGGGGCAGTTTGGGGCTGGGGAGGGGGTATACAGGGTAGGGTTAGGGTGGTGAAGTACGGGCAGGCTCTGGGGGCAGAATTGAGACAAAGGTGGGTGGGCAGGTGTGGAGGCGGGGCAGGGCGGGGCCAGCGTAGAGAGACGGAACTGAGTGTCTCGGCCCCCCTCACACAGAGGTCACAGTTGCAGATGTTTGCCATGCAGCTGGGTGCTGGGAGTCGGACAGATGCACCCACCTGGGGAGCAAGTGCTGTGAGACTAGCAATCATGGGGCCCAGCGTGTCCCTCTTGGGGATGAGTGAAGAGAACAGGGCACGGACTCAGAGTGGACAGTGAGGCACAGGGCCGGAGGGGGACATGAGCAGACTCAGAGGGTATTATGGGGTATGGGATCTCATTCTGAGTGGGTCTGGAACCTCAGGTCTGGAGGGCATGGCCGACCTTA